TCAGTTCGGACAGATTCCTCCTGTTACCGTCGTTGACGGTGGTTTCTGGCATGACCATCACGTACCTTTCGGAGCCGTTCACGAGCATTACCTTGGGTGGCGACGACGCTTCAAGTTCGATGTGTATAAGAGACGCCAGCGTGCGTATGTCGGATTCGTCCAGTTCCTTCTTGTCCTTGGTGGAGCACGCGTAGTATACCTGGCGGGTGTGGCCTCCGACGGCGTCCCTGAGCGGTAGCTGATCGGCCAACGCAGGATGAACAAGAATGGTGTCGGGCGGAGCGCACGCCGTCGACGTGCTGCCGTACCGAAGCGAGTTGTCGAAATCGACGAACGTGGCCATGGTGCCGGTGCGTCGAAGGTTGAACGAGAGGAACTCGTCCCTGTCGCGTTTCCACACCTGATGGAACATGTCGGCTTTGCTCACGTGATCGTTCGGAGTGTTGAACATGTCGAAGAATTTGATCGTGGGCGCTGCCACCATGTGTCCGTACACGACGTGCTTCTGCGTCATCTCCATCGAGGTGCGCAGCTGCTTTTCCTTCAGAAGCGGCCGTGCAGCGATCCAGCACCTCGGCCGGAGCGATCTTCGTCGTGATGCTGAACGTGGACAGCCCGCGATAGAAGACTGTGGGTATGAGCCACTGCGTGTGATCGTAGGGATTCTCGGAGAAGGTCGAGTCCAGCAAAACCCTGGTCTTGAGCCGCAGATCTTTGACGACGCACGTGTCCCTGTCTGTGACAGACGCGCCTCTTTCGGAGAAACCAACGAAGTCCGGGTGTCCGCTGATGGCCCGCAGCTCGGACATCGGATAGTGGTCTCCCTCCAGGACCTCCCTGAGGTTGACCGGGGGAAACCCGAGAAACGGGGCGATCGTGTACGCCGTGTCCATGACGTCTTCGCTTTCGACCTATCGTGTTTAGCGATCCATGCTAATGGTTTGTCTGCAGAACGATCCTGCCGGACTGCCAAGGCTTCACGTCTCCGGACGCGAATCCGAGAACGGCCCGTCCGTGTTTTGCGGTCACGACGTCGGCAATCCTCGA